GGGTGGCACCATGGCCTCAATCGCCGAGTCTCCGGACGTGGTAAGCTGCTGAGTACCTTCTCATCAAGCTCCTTCACAGAGTGGCTATGCTTACAGTTATCCAGATCCGCCTGGTATCTGAGAAGAAATTAAAGGGAATGCAGCGCCGCGAGTACCGCGATCCTCAGGCCAAGATATTTAAGCTATGGCACGAGTTTGACGAGAATGAAAGATCAGCGAAATGTCTCGTGAAATCCTCTTCCCATCTTAATGGGCGCACAGAAAGTAAATGTTAATGAACACGTAGTCAAACAAACAGGTTGTTTAGGAGCCCCTAAATAAATAAAAGCAATGACGAACAGTTATCCTAGCTCGCAGAACACGGTAAAGGGGGTTCCACAAAATTTAAAATGGCGTGCATATCCGTTGTACGAATTAAATGGCAAGCCTTGGTTAGAATCTACATGATACCTTAAGGAGAGAAACTAAAAAGTAAAATATAGTAGTGAAAGTACTATGGAACGAAGTGACCATTTCCTGGAACGAACTGACTATTTTGTGAAACGAAGTGACCTTTTAGATGGAACGAACTGACTTGAAATGAACTGACCATCTATCAAAGTGACCAGAAGTCGTATAAAACTTATTTTTACAGCGTTGGACCTTTCTTGGAAGAGTATATTGAGAGTACCTGCTTTATTTTAGGTGGTTCACCGTATCCAAGGATGGATGGAAGAAAAATTGCAAAGTTGCTTGAAGAGGGATACAGAATGCCTAAGCCACAACATGTGAATGAGAAGTTGTACGAAAAAAAAGACAAAACTGGTCTTTTTCTCTTTCCTTACGTTGCCTTTTCTCCTGCAGCAGTAATTATTGTTTTATAAGTTCTTTTTTTTTGAAGTCGTAAGCGCAGCTTAAATTAAACCGGTATGTGCAAACATTGCTAATGTACATCGCAACGTTTTATGCCCAACAACGCTCACACTTAGTCCAGTATTAACATACTGAGATATCCTTGACGTCTTTCTGTTCCAGGTATGACATAATGACAAACTGTTGGAAAGGCGACCCCAACTTGAGACCATCTTTTGAGAGTTTGAGAAACAAACTCAAAGAAATGGAAAAGCAGCGCAAGGTAGGTCTGTGGAGTTTACGAATACACTTACCCACCTTTGATCGTTTTAGGCTAAATCTGGCCTACGCAAACTTAAAAGAACTTCTTTTTTTTTTTACAGGGACTGATAGACTTAAACTATTACGACGATCGACTCTACGTGAATGTTGACGATCTTGCCGTGTAATCAGTCGAATTTTCACGGAGAAAATGATAGAGCGATAAATCTTGCAGCCCCTTGAGATCCTGAACTATTATATTTTGGATTTGACGTTAACCTTTCATTCTGTGTTAAGAAAAAAACAAACTATTTAACAACGAAGCGAGGGAAAGTACAGCTTTCAGATATTTTCATAGGTAGTTTTTCTTTTTTAATTTTTAGGCTTAAAAAGACGACTAATTTGTATACGATCCTATACTATCTTGGATTTGACGTTAACCTTTCGTTCTGTGTTAAGACAAAACAAACTATTTAACAGCGAAGCGGGGGAAAGTACAGCTTTCGTATATTTTTATATGTATTCTTTTTTAATTTATAGGCTTAAAAAGACGAACAATTTGTATACGAGGATATGAAAGCAGTAATCGTTTTTATTTTCAGCAATATATATTAATTTCGTATAAAATGTGTCGAAAATATAACCAATTTTTTTTAAAAATAACATAAGTGCAAGAGCAATAATTGTTGTGGCGGTTCTATTGAAACGCGAGTCTCTTTTTCACCATGTGAGCTTGGTAAAGCTAATCACCTGAGAGCCACGAACATTTTGTTGATACTACAGTGACTGGAGAGGGAAGGGGGGAAAGGGGGAGGAGGGGTAGGGGCATGGAGTTTAAAGCTCCGATTTCATTGTTTTTGTAATTCTTTTATTTTAAGTTTACCTGAGAGGAATAATTTTTCAGCCATCATCCTTACGGTTTACTGACCCACACACAATTTTAAACAGGTAGCACAAACTCTTGCACTTTTTACTGAAATGAGTGTGAGATTCCCCTCTTAGACACAAAAATTAGATATAACTAAGTCACCCGAAATTGTCTGTAATACTCAGTATTACAGACAATCTGCTTGGATATTGGTCGTGTCTACGTTAATTTTTTCCTCTCGCTCAAACTAGGGTCTCTCGGCTATCTTTCAGTGTCTTTCTAAACCATTTTACCTTATATCCCCTGATTTCTTTTCCCTGAATTCTAATCTTGACGAAAAAGCAGGGAGGATAGAAACAAAGGAGAATTGGACTGGCATATAACAATGTCTTTATGTGGCAAGGCAGGCCCACTTGTTTCTTTAGATTCTTTAATTTTTTCATGCTTCCCTTACCGATGCTAATGACGTGGATTTTTCTTACGCACCTACAAATCAGTTGTTGAGTTTACGGGGGAAGCAAATCGTTACTCACATTAAAACCAAGCCATGTAGCAGAGAGGCATTTTGTCAGCGCATGCGCGATCGGAATTAATTGTCGCGTTCGGCGCCATTTGGAGAGTTTTCGACGCGTTTCTGCGAGGTTTCACTGGACGATCGACACCTTTTTGTAATATTTTGTGAATATGGATGAAGGAGTATGACAAGTTCGCCAACATTTCTAACTCTGTGGATACTCATGGTGTTTGCTGGCTCTTCGGTTGAGGATATTTTAATGATCAAAGTGCGAACAAAACGCGAAAAAAGCCCGAAAACTTGAAGTTTGAGATTTGAGTTACTGAAGATCAATATGTACACATGAGACAACAAACCTTGAAGGTTAGTCTTAAGATGTTGATGTTTTATTTTTGTGAATCACAAAGTTGTCTGTGGAGACGATCGTGAGATATTTGATCCGAGGAAAGATAGAAATTTAGAGTTTGATATTATTTTACTTCAACTTCGAAGTAAAATTGCGTTAAGTTTGAGGTGGCCCCCAAGCATCAAATCACTTTAAATAACATCGTCTTTTCCTTCTCTTTACAGTCATATAGGACACAAGGCTTTAAAAAATGTTCCAGCTTCAGGATTAAGTTGCTCTAACTACAACCCTCGGCGAATTATTTTTCGGGAGGTTTTGGTGGATTTTTCAAGTCATGACCCAAAACCGTCTTTGGCCTTTTTGCTCTCTAAGTCTGTTGAATATGGTGGGTAGGCATGTGTCTTAACAACGGTTATGGTCTTACCTCAATCAACTACGGTTTTGGCTTATTTTTTTACTGTGTTTTGG